CTGGTCAAAATATCGCACTCCTATTATTTTGTGGACAACTGTACTTACATACAAATATGTATATGTCCATACATATGTTTGTTAAAAAAGACAGAACTCTACAAATAAAACTTGTATGTATATTTTAAGCTATAAATTTCGTTTCCCAATGAATGCAGTTACATAGGTTCTTCATTTACAAAATGATTAGTATTTTTTAATATATATATTTAGTTCAATAAATATTTACGCTTGTAATTAAATATCAAATTGAATTCTTAAAATTTTAAGTTAGCCTTTCATGTTAAAATCCAACTGAAGTTACAGCAAAAGTACACTTGGTGCGAAAAATATTTGCCTACAAATAATTGTTGTAAAGTATGTATGTATGTAGACTTGTGAAATGCATGTAATCACTTGCATGTTACTTTTCAAGAAAACGTTTATGTATTATTTTCATCGCGTTTTTATGTTTGGTCTTCTGAGCTTTTCTCTTACATATTTTCGCTTTAAGAAAGCTTTAAAACGTTAGAATTTTATATAAATTATAAATATAAATATAATGAGATACTCTAACGAAGAAGCGTACACAAAGCTAAGTCGAAATACTCAAAATTGTAATGAATTGTATTACCATTTGCTCAACACTGAAATCAGCGTATTATCTCGTTTTTTTTTTATGCAAGCATTGCAGGCCTTTAAGATCGCAATGAANATTACCATTTGCTCAACACTGAAATCAGCGTATTATCTCGTTTTTTTTTTTTTATGCAAGCATTGCAGGCCTTTAAGATCGCAATGATGCTAATCGGCTTTGCATTTCCTGTAACTCCTCCTCTTCTTCACCAGCTTCATCTTCTGATGCAGTGACAGTAGCAGCTGGTACATCTTGCTTTTCTGCAGCAATACCTTCAGGAGGTAAGGGCGCTTCGCCAAGTTTACCATCCGTTATTTCCCACAGTACCTTATCCACTTCTTTTGCTGCTTCCTCTTCCATCTCCTCTGTTTCCTCCAGAGAATCCATAGTTTCGTCGAGCATCTCTTCAATTATGCCCGCCTTCATCATTTCTTTCGACATATCTCGCATAATACCAGCTAATTCTGGATAGCGAACTAGGTTTTGCATGGCTTGCATGACTTCAGTGGATTTTTGCAACGATCCAGCGACGCGTAATGTAGCTATAAAAATAAACAGCATAATTAATAATTAATAATACAGCTTATCTAAATTTTTATATCGCAAAAAATTTACCCAGTTGGTTTTTCATTTGCAACTGTATGGAGTTGAGGTGGGCCTTTGATGTGTAAATACGATTTATAGCTTTACGTGCTCGCACAATCTCTTTAGCAAGGATGACGCAAGTGTCACGATCATTTTTTGCTGCTGCTTGTTTTAATGAACGCTTCACTTTCTCCTCTTCGCGTTGAATGCTACGTATTTGTCGATCAAGTTGATTACCTTCCTTGCGTATTTTATGCGTCCACTCTTGTACCTACAACAACAGTGTTATAATCTCAGTATATCGTTGTAATTTAAGCATTTGTTTATGTTTATTTTTGATTACTAATTATTTGTATGTACAACTGGTTTGCCTTGGTCATGAACTGAGCCACTTTTGAAGAATGACCAACTTTT